ATATTCATTCTAAAGTCATGACACAGTAGTGATACAAATAGTGAAAATAAAGTTTGTTTTCATTCGATCTTCGGATTTTTTAGAAAATTCTTCCAATTTTCATGTCTTTTCATATGGAGAGTAGCACAGTTTTAGAGAGTCAAATGACTTCAAGATTTTATTAATCGCATTACTTACCTCTTCAACTGTAACGATGAAATATGGTCGCAATTCAAGAGGTAAATAATATACTCCGACACGAACATTTACGACTGTCATAATTCTTGTCTTGGACACATTTTTACAAAATTCGATTTTTTTTTGTAACTTGAGGACGTCTACAGCATTCCGAACAAGTTCGATAATTCAAGAACACAAGGTCGCGGACAACAGAATCATTTTAGATTATTTCATCACTCGCTGCAATTCATCGAACGAATATTATCTTCATTGAGGGTGTGGGTAGATCTGAATGCGTGTGCTCGTTTGCCCACACTCGCACTCACCCATCCTGATTGAAGATTCCTGAGAATCACAGATCGCTAGCAGCTTGAATTCTCGACTTATTTAATTTTTAATCCAATATTTTCAAGTCATGAACCAACATTAATATATGGAAAAGTCTAAGTGGTTTCGACTCTTACACGTCATTAGTAGTCGTATTCATGTAGATGCTCTGGTCGGTGATTCAGAAGTTGTCGGCCTTACTTCTTCTCATTACTGGTTTCTCTGGAACTGTTTGAACTCACTATTGTAATCTTTTATAACTGCTAAAGCTCGTTTCGTTGAGTCGGTGACATGGCCGAATGAAATGAAGCGTTTTGATTTATAACATCTACGAGTTTACCTATGATAAGAAGTTTTTCTGTTATCCCTTTATTCACATACATCGTACATCATGGTATTTCGATAATTTTTTATATGCAAACTCAATGAAGAGGTAATAAACCTGTATTGCATTTTGTTTTTTTGTCTCATGTATAAGCGTTAGCACCGAATCGAATTACGAAACAAGGAAATAAACTATGAAAGACATCGTTAGTCCTACACATGGGACGGGTCTGTGTATTTTATAATAAAGGTCTGAAAAACATTCAGATCAGCTCCCAAAACACATTTATACCTAAATTAGTTATAATTATTCACTTCAAATCCTTTCGATGGTATCCAATAGTAGACCAATAATAATACTGTGTACGAGACTGTCAAAATATCTTGTTTTACTTCTCAATTCATTTCAATGGGTTACTCACCACGATCTTATAATGAGAAGCCAGCTACTCGTGATAATGTAATTGTGATATTATTGTTGATTTTGGGTGCGTTTTATCTTACCCTGCTCGACTGATATCATTGCACGAAGGCATCATTTTACACTTCTTATCTTGCTTCTTTCAATTGGCATATTTATTTTCGTTTTTCTTTTATATTTTTGTCAACTAACTACCTTGTAGAAGAGGATTGTTTCTGGTAGAGATGTACCAACTCTAGTCACTTAGCACTCAATTTTTTTGTAGTTTTTAAAAAATCATCACTGTTTCACTTTTTTTTCTAAGCCACCATTATTGTACTAACTTAATGCAATTAAAAAACTGATAAATATTGAAAGTTTGTTTTTCCGCTTACAAACTTCAACCTGGTGCGTGTCTACATGGTTATTTCTTATAATGCTATGCATTTTTGTCTTTTTGATGCATTTCAAATGTATCGGTAACAGTAGAACATGCAAGTTCAAGAGCAGACAACGAGTGAATGGAAATCAGTAAGAAATTCATAAATGTCAAGAAAATATTTCACTCATCGAAATTTAAGAAAATAGAACTATTCCCAATAATGCCTTCAGAGTTTTTTTTATTCTTAACTTGATGAAACTTACATTAATATGACTTTGAAACAACTGTTCTGAATGACGATGGAAAACTTGATAATTATTAAAAAAATATGAATTTGAGAATTATTACAGATTGTTTAGAATGCCTTATATATTCTTGTTATTTCTTCAAACTAAACAATAATAAGAAATTCTGAATGACTTTGTTGATCATGTCCTTCGATTTGCAGTTATGAAATTCTTTTCATCAAAAGAAAAAGTGAGTCGTTTTTTTCGATCTAAATTTCAACTCTCCTACAATATTTTTTATTACTTTCGTGCATTGTATTTTATAAGTATATCACTTTTGCTAGCAAAATTGATATCGTCTTCATATTGTTGAATTAGAAAAATCTTTCAATCTCAAATAATACTTTATGCGATCAGAGAAAGTACAGTGGAAGGCAGCTCGATACGAATCGCATGTACAAAAACATATTGATTCACTGTGTGGAATGTGGGTTTGGATCTTACCTAAACCAACAAACACACCCTCGCCCACTCATACTACACACTTATACCTACACACTCACATCCTGTAGATGTGAATTGGTGTGAGGCGTTGATCTGATGCTGGTGTTTTTAGTCACAATCACATCTAGGCCCATTCACGCTGATCCACATGTGCACCCAAATTCACACCCAGCATATTCACATACCCACACCTTCATCCCACTGCATATCATTAATGATAACAAAGCAAACAGAAAAATGAAATAAACAAACAGCAGATATCTTTCTTCTTTTCTGTCTTTCTTTTTCTCTTCTTCGTTTTCAGATGCCTTAGGGTGTTGGACAGGCTGTGTAGCTGAGGTGTGGAGGTATAGATGTGAATCTGCTAAGAGAGAAACTACACCCACACCCTAGTTTTGCTTAAAGTCAAAAATAAATTTTTGAAAGATTTATGCGATGCGAAAAGGTAATTATAAATTTGTTATTGGGACAGCTGCACTCATTGATTTCTTATACCAAATAATAAAAAAATATAATATTCTAGGTAAAGTTTGGAGAAAAACATCCAACATATTGGTGAGTTTGCCTTGCCTGCAAACAAAGATATAAAACATTGCACCTGTATGTAATGTGATATGAAGGTATTAAAGAGAAATGAAGAAAAAACGAAGGCAGTTTGCATTCAAATATACACTGCGCCACGCACAAGGCATATCTTTTTTCTTTCCACTGAAGGTCGTATACGCTGTATATACGGCTGTATTTCGTCGTTACATACTAATATAACAATTATATATAGTGCATAAAAATATTCTTCTAGGAAGGTAGTGCTATAGTTTCAAATGAAAGCTCGTCGAAAACGGGATTTCTTGGTATTAAATAGTAAGGATTATCAAAGTTTTTTTACTAATGAACTTAAGAAATTTTCATAAATTTTAGAGTAAAGGTTGTTTTTTGGATACTTTTATATGATTCGACAGAGTTCATTGAGTTACGAGATTAGAACCTCAACAGACGACATAGAAAACCTTGAAAAATGTGAAAGAAATAATTTTTTTTGAATGGAAGAAAAACATTTGATTTTTCAAAAAAATTAGCTCTTTCTTAAGCTGCAATCTGATGAGTATAATTCCGATGCGTTTGTGGCTGTAAAAATAATGAAAAAAGCTAATCTTTTGTAAAATCAATTTTTTTTTCACATTTTTCAGGATTTTCTATGTCGTCTTTGGAATTTGTTATCTCGAAATTCGACGAGGTCTATCGAATCATGTAAAATATTCGAGAAAAAACTTTGGTAACTCTCACCAGTCAGTACTAATGAATCCCGTTCATATATAATCATTTCTCGATGGACTCCTATGCAATCATTTTTATTCGTACTTTCGCACATTTATATCCTGGTATTCCTAAATTGTGTACTCTTATACTGTCATATCTTTATACTCTTCGCACCTCTATATCCGTGTAGTTTGATTGCAAATGAACAGCAGAAAACCTTTTAAAACCTTTTGAATCTACGAACATCTCATATGTAGTCAAGCTTCTGTTTCTTAAACAGCTCGAATTTTTATATCGTCTCCATTCATCTCTGCATTTCTTTATCTATCATCGTTTAAGAGCGCGTCTATTGGAGTTAGATTTAAAAAGTAAATTAATTAATTTAAGATTATATTACAAGTGAAATCAACTACATTGAGATTTTTCGGAGTCGACTAAACAAAACCATGTTAACGGATCTACTAATCAGCTTCTTAATTTTTATGAGTGTTGTCGCTGATGATCGTCTTATCGAAGTTGCTCAATCGGCCGAATATCAATGGAACGGTGTTGCTCTAACAAACAATAACCGAATGTTTGTCTCATTACCTCGTTTACTTGGCGATGTAACTCCTTCCGTCGCTGAGATATTGTCTAATAATACTCTCTCACCATTTCCTGGCGGTCAATGGAACACATACAATCCGGCAACATCATCAGAAAACGTAGAAAATTGTTTCGTTAATGTAAACGCTGTTCTCACTGATTCGCACAACAATCTCTGGGTTGTTGATAGTGGCATGATTGGGAATAGAACGATCGTAAAGGCCGCAAAACTTGTCAAGATCAATCTTCAAAATAATACAGTTGAAAGAGTTTATTCAGTTTCAAGTCTGAATCCACCACAAGGATTTGCTTTAAATGATGTGAGAATCGGTTCTCATTATGCTTTTCTAACTGAATCCGGACTCGGTTCAGTAGTTATTATTAATTTACAAACTGGTCAAGTGCGCCGTGTTCTAGAAAACCATCCATCAACTAAATTTGTTGATCCAACTGTCGTTCGCATGGAAGGACGCCCGATTCTAGATGAAAAGGGCCAACCGAAAACAATGCACAACAACCAACTCGAACTAACACCTGACGGAAAAACTCTGTTCTATAAACCACCGTTTGGTTATAATTGGTTTCGAGTATCTACTAGTGATTTGACAAATGAAACAATGACCGAATCAGAACTTGGAAACAAGGTTTTGACCAGTTGGAAAGCGATGCCTACAGGCGGAACAACAATGGACGATAAAGGTAATATTTACCTGATGGATATAGAACGACAAACTGTTTGGCAACAAAATTCTGTTGATGGATCGTGGACACTACTTATACATGATGATAGAATCAACTGGGGTGATGCATCATATGTAAGTACAGATGGATTTTTGTACATCCCAATGTCACAAATCAATCGCTTGCCGGGTTCTAACAACGGTACAAGTCAAGTCGAAAAACCATTTCGTATGTACAAAATAAAAATAAATTCAGCTTCTTCTGGCACCACAAATGTACCAATTCTCATTCTTTTATCAATAAGTTCTTTTATCATTTTTTTGATGCAATAAACATATATTACATCTAACAATCCAAAAATAAATGCATATTCTACTGGATTTATCTTGCCATACACGTATTGGTAGTAAGAGATACTTTATGAGTCGTCCGAGTATGCAAGGCACTCTTCAAGTCATCAACTTTTAAAACTACGATATTCGAACTTTTGGCTCTAATATTGCTTTAGCAAAGGGTCAACCCAAACTAATTATTCGGCTTTTCTAGACCTACATAGAAAAACACAACAGACGCAGAGATATTTAGAGCAGAACTATTCATATATTCTACTTTTGGATGGAGGTGTGGGATGGGTGTGGGTGTGAGTATGTATTTACTATCTCTGAACCCACACCCAGCCACATCCTTCATAAATATTCAAGATGACACGAGAAAATTTTATTGAATATAAATAGGATAAAGTACTGGTGCAACAAGATCAAAACCTCCACCATTAAATATTGGAATAAGAGTTGTTTTAGGTCCATCCTTAACACGAGTTATTGTTAATGTTTGTCTCTCTTGAAAATTCTCAATATTGAAAGAAAGTTGTTTTGGTGTCCATGTAAAACAATCATTACATTCCGATGGTTTCCATTGAATAGTAACAGTATCATTTCCATTTATTCGATGTGGAGGAGTTATTAGCCACACTTGAACTTGTGCACTTTGATTTAAATCTATTTTAGTTGTTTGAGGATAATATAAAAGGCCAAGCATAACATCTCGGCAGATGGAAGTCCAATTACTTGGAATTGAATCAAAATATTTCTCATCTGGTTTTTCCATTGATATTATCTTATAATTAGTGATTTGTTGAACAACTTTCCATCCTTGACGAACAACTCGAGTTGATCTAAGAGGAATTTGTGTATTTTTTTCAAAATAAATTTCTTCACATGGATAATTTTTTCCACTATCAACTTGACATGTTACATTTGCATACCAATAATCTTCATTGACAGAAGAATCATTTGAATGTATCATTTCATATATAAATTTCAAATAATTATCGACTTTAAATGAAGTTCGATTAACCCACCAATGAGAAGGAAACATATTAATTACATTTCCACCATATTTCCAATATGTTCCATACATACAACCAAAAGGTATGGAATCTATTATCAATTGAACATAATATTTTGATTGAGGTGAATCAGGAATCGCGTTGGGAAAATGTTTCATCACGTATGATGTTGATACTCCTGTAGCACCATACTGAAGTGATTGATAAGCTCGTTGATTGACTTCATCAATGGCAATTATTATTTGACCATCATTAGGAGAGAAAACAATCTGTGGGGGAAAAAATGGCTGTGGTGCACATTCCCCGTTATAATAATATAGAAGAAATGATATCAAACACAAGAAGATTTTCATCATCTAAAATAAGGATTAGACTTTTCGGTGTTAGATTATAATCAAAAGTTAGAAGATTGCACTCGAAATTCTTGTTGATCGTTAATTTAAAGATCAGAACAAGTGTATCGGATGCGATATTTTGCCTTTTATAAAAGCATTTTGTTTTTCTTACCTTCACAAAAAATTGTCACCGTAATATGAAACGTATTGTAGTATATATTTATATTCGACACATGTTCGATTTCCATTGGATTTTTTTCTAAAGACAGTTTAAAAGTAAATCATCATGAAATAATGCTTTGACAAAAAAATCTAATAACGATATATTTGTCTTTTATTCTCCTCAAGCTTTTCTTCTACCACCTGGGTCAACTTTATCATAATTCACATAAATCTAGCGTTTTTTTATATTTTGATTGAGAACAAATCAATTTTGTTTTAATCATTTATCGAAATGATCGAAGTTTTATTTCTTAATATTTAATAGTTAAATGAATTTTCATTGATTTTTTTAAAGACTCAATAAATGATTTTTATGAGAAAACAATTTAAATCCGAAATTTTATTCTTTGTAAGTCAAATATGGCAACATACTATTTTACTAACTTAATCAAAATATTCTCACTAGAATATTTTCCATTGCATATTCATCAATCGATGGATATTTTTCAAAAAAAACAAAAACAAATGGTGATCGGTTTCAACAGAGATAAACAATGACTCAATCCTTTTGAGATATATTTTAAAAATATATGTGGAAAAAAACAAGACTGGAGGAAAGTGAACACAAAATAAAAAGTATCTAGTGATAATTGTACTAAATCTCTGAAAGTATCAATAGAATGTATTCATATCTTTTCTCATTGAAAGTACGACATTTTGATTAGAATTTTGAAATGCAATAGAGATTTGATGAGAATTTCTTGCACAAATTACACAGAAATTTGATATTATTTTTGTTCCATTTAAGAAAATCGATCTTTGTGAGTATTTGTAAGGTCTACAATGAATTATAAAATAGCAAAAGAAAAACACAAAAACATTTATCCAACGTTATAAAGTTTCTCTTTTTCTGTATAGTTGATCATAAATCAATCTACATTTCTATTTCATTAAAACTTTTTATAAAATATACGCGTTTAGATGTTTTTCAAAGTGTGATAAAGTTCACAACAAGCTACAACACATAAACTAACATTACATTGAACATACTCATATGCTGTTTTAGTATCTTTTTTAGCTGTTGTTGTATTACGGCATACATGGTACCTTCGCCTTTTTGTTCTTTCAGATATATCTTCAGCTGAATAACTTTGAATGAGTGAATGGAAATGTCGAACAGGAAGCCTTATTGGATTTTCCAAAGATGGTTTTCTTTTTCTCTTTCATTCTTTTCACTGCCAATAGATTCAACAGTATAAATGCTTTCACGAAAACTGGTCTTACATATATGAATCTACAGATTTCAAAGTGCTTGGAAACTACTGTGACCCGATGCAGAGCTATCCACCACCACATAGTTAAACAAGTGAACAAAATTCTGTGATAAATTAAAAAGAAAAATGCATAAATATACTAAATTCTCAATTATACAATTGTTGTTTAAGATTTATGTGTAACGGTTAAAATACTTTCATTGCGCACGAACAAATTATTTAATAATATTTGAATTTCAAACTTCAACATTCATATGTTTATTACTCATATTTTGTGGCAAAGTCCATTGCACTTTACTTGTTTCAACTCTTGTATATGTATTACTGTCTTTGTCATCTCAGAGTGACATATAGATGAATAATGGTGTGTTTTTGTTTCTTACGTTGTTTGATGCGGAAATACTCATCTATTGACATAGATGTATCATTAATGTTTTCTCTTGGTTTTTTCTTATCTTATCAGTGGGTATATTTCTATTTAACGGAATATATACTCTTAAGATCGTCCCTTGCTACATGAGAATCAACTGATTAGATAGAAGGACTTTGAGTCAATGTTGTTAATCTTTGTAAAACAATGACTACCAGTACAGGAGAAATTTACAGAAATTTTACAACGGCTTATCCCGATGAGTTTGTTTTGGTTCTGAAGTATGACGCACCAGGCGGCGGTGGTTCCTATAATGGAACTAAATTATTAAAGGCCCAGCTAAAGAATGGTTATGATTATTTGGAAGTTTTTAAATTATGTAAACCTTCAGCATGCAGCATGGATTCAGATGAAATCAAATCTAAAGTATTTCCATTTGTTTATGATACAAAAGGTCAAACAGATACCGAAACAAGATGCGATAGTCTTAAGGCCAGTTTACAGAAGATATTTTCAAATCATGGTGTGAATGTGTTTATTTTCAGTAAATCGTAGTATTACCGAACATACACTAAAGGCTCTGCCTTTTTTGAGAAGGAATATCGATCAGATGTTCTTGTTGCTTTGAGTTAAATATCTTTTTATATTTAATTAATAATGGCAATTAGATGTAATGTTTTATTTTTCTTTTTAATAAAATTAATTTAATAAATTCAACTTAATTGGAAATATATTAAATTATCAAATAAATTTATATTAAAAATTCATTAATTTTTGTTCTAATATAAAAAGGACTCTTTCGGTTGGTTTTTTTGTTGAAGCTTTATATGAAGATTAAAGTGAATAATATTTGTAATTATTAATTAGTTGAATAAATCAAATTGTGATCTTTTTTGTTAGTCTAATAAGTATTGTATATCTTTGTTATTGTTTTAATAAATTTAAAAAACTTCTTCTTTGAACAAAAGAGTTTTTCTTATTGTTAAGTAAGAAACAAAGAAGAAGCATTTATCATTTGAAATATTGACCATTTTCTTATATTTATCTTCGCAACATATTTTATTGTGAGTTTTGAAGTTTGGATATAGAAAACTCACTTCTAATAGAATTAAAAGTTAAATAGCTGAGCCATCAGCTTGAAAATGAACAGGATTATTAATAGATCTATGAGTCTCTATAGGAATATCTTACATAGATATCGATTCTCCATATCCAATCATCGGAAGCAATCGGCAAAAAAGTTTTATTCAAATGTTCAATTGTCGAGATGTCGTAGATTCAATAAAAATTCAGATATTCTTCTTGAAGAATAATATTCACCACAGTAATGCTGAGCTATTTAAAAGCATATCGTTATTTGAAAATACGTTGAACATTTTTCGAATTGTGAAATATGTTTGAATGGAATAATCGAATAGTAAGCATAAAATTATTCACTCCAATCTTTTAGTGTATTAAAATAGTTTAAACTTGAACATTCATATAACACCTCTAGTACTATCTTGTCAATTAATTATCATCATAGCTACAATTGTTATGCAAAATACAATGAACTCGAATATTTTTTGATTATTTTCAGATTGAAAATAGCTTCAAATCTACGATTTTCATCGTCTAGAAGGAAAATTTCGGAGAAGTAACATTGTTAAATAAGGCTGGTTAGCTTTTGTTAAAGGTTTTGTTTGAATCAGAAAACATTTTGAATTTGTATAGTTAACTACTGATTGATAGTACACTTATTTAAGTTTGACTTTTATCATTTGAGGCAAAAGTTCAATCGATTTGTGAAGTAACCCAAGACAATCATTGTGATTCTTGTCCGTTGATCTCAATAGTTTTTCTTTGCTTTGATCATTAATTTAATTCTCATTATTAGGGGAAAAATTCATTTCCTGTATATAATATATTTCTCGACGATATGTTTGATATATCTTCTGTTTTTACTTTAATATTCTGAATTTTTAGTAGATAATCTAAATAATTTGTACAATAGGACATTTGCCTTTGTCGATTTTGACAATCTTTGAGTTATTAGGACTTACGGGATGCAAAACATTCCAAGGTATGTAAAGAAATTTGAGATTAATTTTAACATAAGTTCTGTGTTGTTTTTCATGACTCTTATTTAGATTTGATTACATTTGATACTTGACGTCATTGTAGAAATGTAATGAATACAAAGGTATATATGTTCATTTCGACAGGAAGATAATCATTGGTTATTTCGTTTTTCCTTTTTCTATGTGGGTAAAAACCCTGATGAATTAGTTAATCATAAGCATTAATCTAAATGAGTAATAATTTCCTCATTACATAGGTAAATATAATCGATGATCAACATCGGTATATTAGTTTCAGAGATTAAAAATGATATCTATACAAGGAAATATTCTTAATGTATTTGTATTGCTTTTGTTGATTACAACTGGCTCGATTAATGGCCAAACTGGTTACACACAGAAATGTATATGTTTGAAAGATTCAAGTAGTGGACAATACTGTGCAGAACAGTCCTGTGAAGTTAAATATTAATATAAGAAATGCTTTAGTGGTCAAAGTACAGGGTATGGGTGTGAGTCTTTTCTTCTAGCACATCCACACCCTGAAAGCGTGCTGAGCTCATAACTCAGAGGTCGTAGAACTGTTCAATAAATCATGTTACTTCATTTGAATCTGTTGCTTTTCATTCTCCTATCCGATCATGCTATATTACGAATCAGCTTTGGTGGATCGAAACTACTCACTGCTATAAACTTTCTTTTTTTTTCTTCTGTTCTGTCTAATGACATGACATAAGGCAAAGAACAAGTTGTGTTCGTTTCAATAAATAAATCAGTCAGATAAAAAAAAATTCATTGCATCAAGAAGCCAATAAGGATTAAATAACGACAAATAATCTCAATGTTATCAAAAAGTATTTGCACTAAAATTGATCTGTATGGAGCCGTTTCTTCTGTTGAACGTCTTAAAGATTCAAAAATGAGACCAATTCCAGAACCTATTCCAAGTTCTGTGCAGCACCTTATTTTAGAGAACCTTCTATTTTATATTTTATTTTTATCGCTGTGGTATTAAAACTGCGTTTTACCAAACTGATGACTGCCGTATACATATATTGATGTAAACCAACTACACATTTCGGTCATTCTATGCGTGTAACTACAACAAGGTTTTCTCCGCACTCTAGAACCTTTTCGATGCTGAATTATGAAATTTTAGAAAATCCGTAGAGATAGATGTGTTTTGTATTTTGCATACTGTATCACCAATTCTGATTCGTTTGTCTCAGGTAATATTAGAATTCAAAGAAAAAAAAAGCCTAATAAAATTAACTGTTTTTTGAGCTAAAGAAATGAATAACTGTTAGAAAAAAATTAAATAGATTTTGACTTGAAAATATGCAAGCAGCTTGATAAAACAAAATCACAGATGATCGACTTTGTAGGAATCGAGACGTAGATGTCTAGCAATTACCAAACCTACCATTGAGCTTAATTACGTCCTTTTTTCGCTTTAGTCATGCCAAAATTTAAGTAAAACATACACGTGGCAAGTTGCAAACTTTTTTCATACCCATACTTTCTTATGACCAATTTTTCCTGTGATGATCATTAACACTGAATGTAATGGAATAAAAATATTTTTTTGTAATGACTAAACTAAGCATAGATTTATTGAGAAAAAAATGTCTATTTTTTTTGTCCATTTTTTATGGCCATAAACCATTTTTCCATTGATGGGTGTTCAGAGAGATCGATAGTCAGGTTTCTGCCAATTTTTTGCCATAATTTTGCATATTGATCAAAATGCCGATGAATAGTATCAAAATTTCCTTCGCCAACCTTATATTCTACCATCGGCACACGGCATGTATTACGTTCCTTCGATTCAGTATCATCCATATATTGAATTGTATATTTCCCATATGGTAGTGGATAACTAAGTGCACGTCCAATATCGACCGTATTGATAGATGAAGAGGTGGTCGTAAAAATTTGTTTCACAAGTGAATATCGTTCGTGTCTCTAAACACATCAAATATAAGAAAAGATCTTCGGCAAAAAAATTGTCATGCTTACTTTATTCACGAACATCCAACCACCTTTGTAAAGTTCTGTCAGTGGTGGTTTCAATTTCCATAATTCGAATCCTTCTTTTTCCAATTGAAATTCATCAAACATTGGTTTTAGTGCTTTTTCAACAAGACCTGTAGCATACTCAGGCATTTCGTAATGTGCTAATAGAGTACACGGTTTGAGACCGAATAATGTAGCAAAAATGTCGCCATCTAAAGCATAGACAATAATTAACGTTTGTCTTTGATTCACTCAACTCTTTGCCGAAAAGTTTTAAGCGTATTCTTACAAACAAAGTATATACAACAAGCAATTAAGAAGTTTTTCAATCACTAAAAGTGCTACTCACTGGAAAAAGTATTTTGTCTGATAAAAATGCGTATTTTTACATTTTTAACGTAAGATGACAAAGAGAAAATTTTTCAGATACTTTAGAAAAACCCATAAAAAAAATTTGTAACAATTTTTCTTCATTTTGTTGTATCGATATATACTAAAAATCAAGCAGAGAGTCGCGAGACGTCTTTAATTGAAAAGAAAAGTCTTGCGAACACTTTAAGACGTATCTGCACCTCTAGAAATCTTACACAAAAACGTTTTAGTAAAAACTGATAGGATGCTTATCGGAATCTTCTCAGTTTCTGATATAAGATTGTTTTAGATTTTCCATCAGGGTGGCCATCTGTACCCTTTTCTACTTTACACTACTTATGAACTATCTTTTAACAAAATTCAAAAAATTGTCTGTAGAATCTTAAATCATTTTCTGATATACAACAAATGAAAATATTTGTATTACAGAAACTACCATAGGCAGTGGCCTCTATTTTTCATTGTTGTAAATCTGAATAGTCGCCATTGTTTTCGCACTAATCAAACTTACTCAATTGCATCGATTTTAACCATGGCAAGACTAGAGCCAGAAAAACGGTTTTTTTTTAATTAAAAATTACTATCAATGAGTAGAGAGTGTTGAATATACTAGCAAAGCGTTCAACACGAAGTATGGAGAAGACAATCTTTGTGGCGAACTTCTCCTCATTGATAGTAATTTTTAATTTAAAAAAACAAAACCGTCTTTCTGGCTCTAGTCTTGTCATGATTAAAATCGATACAATTAAGTAAGTTTGCTTAGCGCGAAGACATTGGCGACTATTCAGATTTACAACAATGAAAAATAGAGGCCGCTGCCTATCGTAGTTGTTGTGCTACAAATGTTTGCATTTGTTGTATACCTTCCTGGTCACTCTGTATGTTTTTTGTGTCTGCGTGAGCATGAGCTTTAATTTCCTCAAAAACTATTATAACGCATATTTGCGTCACTCACCGCCAAGGACCTAAGACATATATGACTTAAAAAAGTTCTAAACAAGTTAATATGATATTAGACTTGGCAAAAAATGCACTCATTTATTGTCTTATTGAGTCATTTTTGTAGTTCTGTGATTGATGATGAAATTTATGTAAAAAGAATTCGTTTTCGCATACACTTAAAGAAAGAAAGAAAGAAAATAAAATAAAAACAACAACATGATGTACAAAAAACAGATTTATAAGTTTTTTTGTAGTAAGAGCAACATCTTTCGTAATAGAACAACAAAAATGACGAAAAAAATGACTGGGTCAGTAACTGAATCATTGGTATTTTTCCCAAGTCTATTGTCGGTAATAATCCCAAAGACAAATGAAATTACAATCATTAAAATCAGTATAAATATGAGAAGAGAAAACATTATTAAATAGAATTTTATCGTTATTGATACAATTTTCAATCGCAGAACATTATTAATAAATCATTTTTGCTGCAAATTATATTGTTCCAGAAAATATATGGCATCTTATTCGAATAATCGTCAACTTGTTCTCTTTGATGGAGATAATAATCGTATTAATTTAATTGATCAAATTAATCAATTATCTCGAATTCCATCAAATTGTGACTTCATTATTTTTTATAATCAATTAGATCGAATAGAAGAATTTATATTAAATGATTTAAAACGTATTTCACAAGTAAAACTTGTAAAATGTGTTGACGTAGCAGATCAATTATTAAGGATTGCTTACAAAGAAGTGGTCACTTATTTCTATGTTCATGTTATTTGTGATGAAAAACCAAACGATATGCATGATTTAATAAAAATTCATAAAAAACACATAAATATTCATTTTATCGGAATGAATCGTTCTAATATTTATGTTCAATCTATTATTTATCGTCTTCAACAATATAATGATCTAGCAGATATTTCATCATCGATAATATTAAATAATAAATTTATTTTGGATAACTATCAATGTCCAAGATGTTCAAAAACATTTAAATTACATAAAGATCTAGAACAACATTATTCAGACACTCATGTTACAATTACAATTAACAATGTTCATGTGGATTATTTGGGAATGCTTAAACCAAAGAAAAAAAGTGATCCAGATGAACGACATAAATGTGAACTTTATTGTTTAGTATGTTGTTATGGTTGGCAAACATTGGAAGCTCGAGAAAATCATATTACCAATGAACATCCAAATGCAACGGCAGATGATTTAGATTAAAACAATATGAAAATTACACAATTGTCTCTCAAATTATAGGATACTCTGTATACTTTGATAAAATTTTTGAAAAAGTTTTTTTTTTCTAAATTATTATATAATGTATTCAACTGAGAAATAGGATAATTTCAAATAAAGTTTATTATAGGCCAATTAATTGACACTGATACCTATTTTGAAATGTATATTTTAGAAGATAATTTTACATAGTTTTTTCAACGACTTGAATCGATATCTTTGAAAACTAACGTACCTCCATGAGTTGATTACAATGAATTTTTACTAACTAATTAAGTATTCAAACCTTTCATTGAAAAACTAGAAAATTGCACAACACTCAATTTTTTTAGTAGTTTAATCGTTCGCGAATCGGACGTATTCTAGTTAAAATTCTAGCCATTTTTTTCTATTAATTTCTGTGAAAAATCACTTTTGGTTTTCTCTTACTTTATCAAAAAAAAATAATTTTCCAGGACATTTTTTTTAGAAAAGTTTTTGAGAAAACATCTTGAAAAAGCTTATAACATACGGTTGAAGGAGTCTTCATCTTCTATTTTTAACAATGTAAAATTATACATGCCTCCAAAAGATCTATAAAATGGTCTCAAAAGGTGGTATTTCAATTCATTTTTGGGACGGCAATAGTTAATGTCTATTTGATATACAAGGAAAACTATGCCACAAGCAAAGTGACTATTCTGCAGTTTCGTAAAAGTCTTGTTCTGCGATCTTTACTTCTCGGTAGACCATTTGAGAAGCTGAAACTTGGTTCGAACAACAATCATCAAGTTGTTCGAAGCACAACTTCGCTAGTCACAAACTAGAAGAAATGAAAGGACCTGTGCGCAATGTCAGTAGACGCTGTACTGGCTGCTATGAGAAAATTAGGAAACAACAATGAAAGAAGCGAGCACAGCTATAGCAAAGAAAATAAAACCTTCTGTTCTGATTGTGATAAATTTTTTTGTCTTGATTGATTTAACGAGGAGAGTCACACTAAGCAATGAATGATTTTCAAAAAAGCAAAAAGTAAATGATACATAAGAAATAAATTTTTGTTGAAGAAAAAGAGAAAGAAAGTCCCTCTCTACCAAGCTTCTTCTCAAAATTGACTGGCGTTCACCAGTGGGTCTCATCACTGCGAATGTGTTAAGGCAAGATTTTGAATGTTAATTTCTGATGTGATTATGACTTGTAAATCACTATTCGATAGCAAAAGTTGTTTTATATCGATCTACATAAGGTTGACCTTTCTACTTTGTTCTGTTCTGGCGATATAAGGCTTTCTAGGAACCTTCCTTTTTTGGCCACCAGACTTCTGATTACTCCAAAATGCCTTTAGGATGAGATAATCGGTCTTACTCAGTCGAGTGATGATACTTGTTTTTCATTTCAATGCGATCCGACACCTCTATGGTGAATTTTCGACGTTTGCTATAACAAAGTCGCATCGGAGATCGTATCAAAAAAAACTTTTATAACTAGACAAGTTGCGATCCAATCTCGTTGATGTCATAAAAAACATTCATAGTAAGCTATCAATGCAATAAAAGCCATAGATTCTGTTCGATAAGTAATATTAGTAATACCATAAAATCAGTGTAATATTGTTGGTAAAATAGCGACTAACGAGATGGCGTAAGTGTCACGAGCGATAAGAAAGAAAATGGATTGATGCGAGTGAAGGACGAGTATGGCAATAATGAACAAAGTTAGAAAAAGACGATAAGCTTGACAAGAGTTACCATACTAACACTTACCTACAAAAGTTTGCTTGTCTGCCTGACTTTTTTTTGATAATCGATACGTTGACAATAGTTTTAATCATTCTTTCTTCTATCATAAAACAATAGACCTAATACAATTGAGGTACTTGAGAAGATAAAAATACTAGCTTACTGAAGTAACCGACGTCCATCATACGGATACAATAATTATTTTTGATTCCTTCCGTAAAACAACAAAAAATATCATTCGAAAAATAAACATAACATCCCATATTCTCTACGGATCTTTATGACAGAGAGTTCATACCAGAGATGTTGGTGAGTGATTTTTTTTTTGACCCGACCCGCTTGACGGGTTGAGCAATATTTTTTTCGGCCTACGGGCTACTCCACGGGTTGGCGAAATCTTCAACCCGTCACGGGCTGCCCGCGGGTTAATGCAAATTTAATTGCAATAGTATTTATAAGAAATTCACAAGTTTAGTAAATCGATAAATTCGTTTTTTGTATTCATTTTATTAAAATAAATATACCATTAAAGTATTATCTGTCATTTCTGAGTACATTCATAAGTATTACAAAATTTGAAGTTTAGCGCAGGGAGATAAAGAGTCCAGGGAAAGTAATAGCATATGCTCATGTTCAGTGTTAAAAAATTGACAGCTCCTATTATGATGATGATAATAACAGCTGTTCAAAAAAATTGAGAATTAGATAGACTATATATCATTCATTCCCGTTTTGTAAAGTGGTCGAACTAATAACAAGTCTTTCAATAAGCTTGGTTTTGTACGTGATTTGAAAGCACAATAAACAAGAATAACTTAAGGAAACTGCCTTTCGACAGTAACTGAACTCCTTAGAAAAGTTTGACTGAGGTATTGACTACAAACTATAATAAAAACTGATACATGTACGAAAAGATAGATTCCTTTGTTGCGTCACTCAGCTCGAAAAAACCAAAAAGACAAAACGAACGGGAAAAATATTAAGAAAAGATGAAGCGAACAGGAAAAATGTGAAGATGCAAAAAAAACGATCGAAATTAGTATGTTGCGCAAGCAAGTTTCGAAAAAGAAGCGCATTCATGTATATATATGCTTCAAAACAATTAGGTGGACGACTAGAATCAAGATATAGTCAATACAAATGATAGAAAGAATTTTGATGTTAAAGTAAGAATTAGTGGGAAAGACAAAACCAATCATCGGTGAAAGTTAGAAATGAAATGGATGCGTGCATAAATCTATGTAGAAAGAAAAAATTTAAGGGGACCCCCCCCCTTTCCGGCGTTTCTAAGAAACGGCCGAACGAAAATTTCTGAAACTAGCAGGGTAGATAGACCTCGAGTAGTAGAGCAAAAGTTGTCATAGACACAAATTTTCCAGACGTCATCTTCATGGACTTCCAGAGACCCCAAGGTCAAAAACTTGCAAAAAGTTTTCCCCCCCGCAAATCCACAGATTTCATCTGTTTGAGCTGAAATCTTTACTGTGGGTAGACGGACCCAATCGGGGAGGGCGTTTTTCTTTTTTCAAAAATTCCACATACTTCAGGCTGAAGAACCAAAATACTGAGGACTTTGCAAAATCTCTAGGTTTTTTGGATCCTAAAAATTTTGCGAAGCCTGCCAAACTTGATTGGTAGAAGATATCCAAAAAAAGAAAAGCCCAACCTAAATCACTTGAAGTCTCACCAAAACAATTTTCAGCCCGATCGGACTTGAAATGGCGGAGAAAAAGGGGGAAAACTGGTTTTTGATACCCAAAAAACTAGTTTCGAGAAAAATGCAAAATAAAAAAAACTTGTAGAAGAATTTTCTTTTTCCGTTTCTACGTGAGTATTTTTGCTAATTGTGTGGTACAAAGGGTAGTTCGGCATGGAGAATCCGAATCTGAGATCGGTTTTAATTAATTAATTATTAATTAATTAACTCATCACTAATTAGCCATGAATTAGCGGAGCCGATTTTTTATAAGATTGCAAAAGGGGTATTCGAGGGTGGAGAATCCGAATGTGATGTCAGATTTAATTAATTAATTAATTAAAGAAATAACTGATTATGGCTAATTAACGTTTTTCCTGGAAAAACTGAGTTAACTCAGATCAGAACAAAGAACGTGAATCTGAAGTCAATTTTGATTAAATAATTAATTAATTAATTTTTATTTATCAGTTAATTATAAAAAGGCACCAAAAATTGCGATAATACGTATTCACAGGTAATCATGGATGAAAAATCTATATCTAGACTGCATTTCAATTAGTTAACCAATCATTCAGTAATTATTAAGAACTTTTTTCTGTTTTTTAAAAGTAGCCAGGCATAAGTAAACTGAATGTGTAAAGACATGGAAATTTTTCTCCCCTCTATTATTTGTTACTTAGAAATCTTTAGTCGTATTACTTTCCAATTACAAATATTTCTTTAGTAAGTTTCATCAGACATCTTATAGTTTCATATAAACTTTATTTATCTATAAGAAGAAACAAAAAATAACAAGCTTTCATTCATGGCAAACAATATCGAAATACAAAAGACAATTCGTTCAAGGTATGTTTATTTATTTAAAAATATTTTAATACAATTAATCAAACGCTCCTGACGCATAGTTATATTTTTCTTGTTGATTGAGACGTTGTTCAGTTAATATTTGTCGATGTCGTTTCTTTTGCTGAGCTGCTTTCGTTTTGAATTTATGTTCTTTCACTCGTTGATTATCAGTTAATTTTAGCATTCGAACACATGCAGGAGTTGTACTTAGAACACCACATTGTTGAAGCCGTTTTGTTATTGATAGTTGATAACCATCGTTGTACAGAATAGCAGCTAAAGAAGTAGCATCACGAACATATTTGGCAGAATGAAATTGTGTTTTAGGACACAATGACCAAATATAACTATGATATGATTCATTGGAATTGGTTGTTCCACCGTCGACGACTTTCGATAACATTTCATCTGAACACATCTTTTCATAAACAGGACGGATAGCATTCATTACTGCAGGTGCCAAACTATGCTTGTTAGGATCAAATGATTTGTATCTGTACATATGACACTTTCTTGGATCACAATAATCATGATTTGGATTTTCACATGTCGAACTGTAATGATGAAACGTAGCTAAAATATAAAAATGTTGCTGAGAGATATTAATATGAACAAAGCATACCCCAACAAGCGACTTTCATTGATTCCAAATCATTGACATGAGATCGAATAGCTGAACCATAATAAACAGTTAATTGATGAATTTTATCATCAGTTAAACGTCTATTTCGACCTCCAATTGGTAAACCGTCTTCTAATTTTGCACCTTTATAGTTTTTCTTGATTGTTTCAAGAGCAGTGCGCATTCTATATTAAAAAAGTAGATGTATATTATCATAAAGACAAAGATATTACCGTTTTGAAAAATGATTTATGCATTGAAGACGTCGAATACGAATTTTTCCATATGGTTGAGCATCGAGAAGTGCACGTTCATTGTTGGCATCACCATCACCAATGTATGTTGTGTATCGTAGAAGATGTTTTACTTCTGATCGACAAAAAACTTTCACAACATCTAAAAGATTCCATATATTGGTAAAAATCTTTCAACATAACTTTCTCAAACCTGCAGCTTCCATTCCAGATGATGAACCTGAATGATTTTCTTCACAACCACTCTCGATATGTTCTGCTAAAAGTTGTTGATACATTTCAGGATTGTGTTCTCTAATCGCTAATAAGCCAGAGCAAGTGGTGCAGTGCCGACTTAGACATTCGAAGTCTAATACTTTTGGTGGATCCGCTGTTGAACAAACAGTTGAGACTCCATGCAAACTAAAATGACCACGACGAGTTAGCCAAGTACCATCAATTGAAACTTTGATATTTGTAACTCCTTCATGATCAGCAGCTTCAGATGATTGTTCTGCTGCTTCTTCAGCTACAAATAAAATTGTACAAGAATAGCATATGATAAACAAATAAAAAATAGTGAATTTTACCGCCTCTTCCAAAACTTTCATCTTTCACAACATCTAAAGCATTTGAATATATTTTCTGATATTTGTTCCAGTTTTCAATTTGAACTGGTGGTAAAATATTCAACATGCCTAAAATTGTAGTCATGCCTGTTCGTTTGATTCCAGCAACATTAGCTGCCACACATGCCATCATGTTGAGTTCATCCATACGTGAAGTAGATGAGTGAACCAGTTGTGTTGAATTTGTAAAAGATGTTTCAAATGAACAAGTGCATGAAAACGTGATATGGTACAGGAGACTGCGACGTTGAGTAACTTTTTCTGACATTTTACCAACACGATTACACGAAGGACAACGGAATGTATTAACCAAGTTGAGTATCATGCCGATATTGACGATAATATTTACACTATTGTATGGAATATCATGTGATTCAGATTCATCATCAACAAAAGCTGGTTCATCTTCGTCTTCAATGGTCGATTGTGTTGTTGAAGTTGATCTAGCACGAAGTTGAGCACGAGATAACTTTAGTTTTTTTTCTATTGTTGTTGTTAGATGCTCAATCGATGTTTGTGCAGTGTTATCTATCGAATTTGTGCTTATAAGACGTTGGAATCGAAGATTGTGATTTTGCAATCGTTTAGAAATATATTTTTTACCCATCTAAAATATAATTATTATTATTTAGTGATGGTCGATCATTACGAGATGCACAATTAGAAGCAATCAAAACACTTCTTGAAAGTTGCTATCAAGATGCAAATATTACTATGCCTTCACTTATTTATCATATTTTATTTGAAAAAAGATTCGATGATATTTCAACTCGACATCGTCTTACTACAGATACTGTTATAGTAACCGATGCTGAACGACGTGAAGCATTTGTAAATGAGATAAATATTATTTTATCCAAAAAATCCAAGAAAAAAAAACATCTACTACCACCAGTCATACTTCAACTGATGCGTCTTCGGTTTCCAAACGATCTTGACAAAGACAAACCTCTCAAAGGCGCAACTGATGTGTCTATTGATGCTTTTGTCCAATGGACAAAGCATGTGAAGTAAATGATGTTATCTGTTTTTCATTTATTTTTATTGCATCAAACAAGAAAAAATAAAATACATATAAAAAATGAAATTTTTTTTTTTGTTAGGCATGATTATGATTCATGATGATAATCGTCTATTGTATTCGTCACGAAAAGATCAATAGATGCATCAAGTATGGTCAGTAATAAAGGGACAATTGACCAATAACCTTGAAAATTAAATATTTGAAAAAAGATGTCACTTGAGACAAGAGTTTTATGGATGACATACGGTGCCGTAATTTGACTTTTCTGAGACTGTATGAGTCGAAATGAATCTAACTATTAGAACAGAAGAAGAAAATATGACGAAACATCTTTAGAAATGAAAACATTAAAAAATTAGAAAAATGTTTTTTTCACATATCTTGCCAAAAACCCTGATTTTTCAGAGACCTATCGACCTTGGATGGTCCTGATTTTTATAGGATAGATATCAGGGACCGTCACAGGGCAGGGCTGCCCTGATGCCCTGACGCCCTGCCCTGCCCTGCCCTATCGGGCAGGACAAATTTTTATTTTTAGCCCTGTCCTGAGGGCAGGGCAGGGCATGACAGGACAGGACACAAGGCAGGACAGGGCAAAATAGTTTACCCTGCTATCTTTTTTGTAAAAAGTCATTGGAGAAATATTCTCTAAATGTAAATATAAAACTTTGAAAACATATATATTCTATATAACTTCACCAAATGTTGATAACTCTATGTCTTCAGTTGATGTCATTACATCTTTTCGATCATATACTCCTTCTAATTCATCACCGTCTTGCAAGAATTTTGTCGATTTTGAAAACATCCGAGATCTCATACCACATCAAAAGCATTCATACCATATAATAAGAAATGAATCTTCATCTTCTGCTAAATACGGAAGAATCTTCGATTCCTGACTTCACTAAATAATGATAATCAATTACAAATATCTACTAGCTTTATTGATAGATACATTGTTTTCATATAAATATTCTACTGGTGTCACACATCCATTTAGAAAAACCTAGAGAAACTGGACGAATATCGATAACGTTTGATTTAAAATCTGTTACATGGCACTATTTTCACCCTTTTATAATATTATCTTTAGCCTAAAATTTAGATTTTTTTCACAGCTTTTAAGAGTTTCTCAAATCTTTTTGATCAATTATGATTCAT